GTCGTAACATTTTTGGAATAATCGATTGACTAGCGAAAATGTTTCAAAATTAATAGACGCCTACTTGCATAAAGCAATTTGGGTTTTACGTTACAGGTACATATAAAAAGGCCTTCAATTCAACTTGTCCGTGATATGATGATAACGCTTCAAAATTCAGATTTCTTTTGGCATAGACTCGTGCAAGAAGGTACATTTAGGGAGGATTGAACAAATCAGTGTGTGAATATGACGCCCTTAATTCCAAGGATTATCCTGGTCTCTGTGAATAGAGAGATTGCACGAAATTGCCATTCTTCCAGTCGGAATACAAGTTCATCGTGTAGTAGCGTAGTGATAAAGTAACCCACTTCATGTTTAACATCAACTTACCATGTGAACCAAAGGAACAGTAATTCCGCAGAAACACGTAGTACTTCCAATCAGGTAGATGACAAATTGCTTATTTCTCAGGTATGAAAAATCTAACGTCGAGCACAACTTAGTCGGCCTCTTGTCTTGGTCAGTACCCTCTTTGTCGTTGTCACCTATCTTTGAGTCGAATGTACAAGACAAAATGCAACTCACGCACAACATCCCTGCCATGGCAATAAATGTGATTCTCCATGAGCTCACAGTCAACAAGGCCTGAATGATGGGGCTCATTACAATTAATCCCCCTCCGCACCCCATGAGAACGAGCCCTGTTGCCAAAGAGCGCCTTTTAATGAAGTACCTGGGCACGATAGTTAGCACAACAAAGAAGATACAGCAATTCCCAAAGCCAAACCCAACGCCAAATGTGAAGTACATCAGGGTCAGATTTGGGGCTTGCGAAGTAGCAAGGAGGGCCGCGGTGGAGATAATACCCCCGGAAATACCAACTGTACGGTGATTGAATCGATCACATAGAAGTCCTACAACTGGTCCAAACAGACTGCCGCATGCATACGCTAGAGAGCCTACCCAAGCTGAAAGAACAGACAAAAAACAAAACAACGGTCTCGCGGGGAGCAAGCACTTTCTCTCGACAGAATAATAATGAGGTGATTTGGTTACATCAACTAAGTTGAAATGGTAAATTGGCCACCGTAAAGAGTTAAAATGCTGACGTCTCGAGCGTTAGCCCTTCGTCAGAGCGAATAATAATGATAATAATAACAATAATAATAATAATGATAATATATAATAATAATAATAACAATAATAATAATAATGATAATATATAATAATAATGATGATATATAACAATAATGATAATATATAATAATAATGATAATATATAATAATAATAATGATATATAATAAAAATGATAATATATAATAATAATTATAATATATAATAATAATGATAATATATAAAATAATGATAATATATTTATCGTCGATGACGTGGGAAGTGGTCGCCCAATCTTCTGAGCAACGAGACTCATGTTTAAAACGGTGGACAAATAAACAAGATCTTAGTCAAACTTTACCCATGAAGTATTTGCATGGCCAGAAATTTAATACATTGTGAAATGCTAACGGAAGTATCCATGTTTATTTAACAGAATAGGCGCCTAGAATATTTTTACATTTGTTTTGATTACGTACGACCCAGTACCTGCTAAATTCATGTTTTCAAGAATGTTTTTCTCGTTCTGCCTTGGTAATTAGTCTAAATCAAGTTTACTAAAGGAAAGTTTTCGCTTAATTTAAAAGACAGAGAAAATAATTAATAACCGCGCTCTTCTACGAGGAGAAGACGATTTGAACTCCGACAAGTAAAACGGTAGAAGGCAGTACTTTATCACGCGTACATCTATGCCCGGTACATAATGATGTATACTGCACTATGATATTACTACATGATTTTTTTTAAGACTGTGGCGACCGACTTAAGCTATATTAGTTGTCAACCCCACCAAGCCAAATTACAGCTCAACCCCTCATGTACAGCTTAGCATTCACAAGTGCAGTTCTCTCAACTAATCAAAATAATTGGCCTCGATGGTTAATTGTTCGAAGGGAAGACATAGCTGTACAGTGGAACCTCGATTTAGCGAAGTGCCAAGGGACTGGGGAAATTGGTTCGTTAAATCGAGGGTTCGTTATCATATCGAGGTTCTGTGGCATACATTTTAAGGTAACTTTAGCCGGGCTGAAATTGAAGTACGGTTGGTTATACCGAGGACTTCGTTATGTAGAGGTCCGTTAAAACGAGGTTCCACTGTAGTGGATATTTTTACGCTTTATTAGCGCGTGAAATCGTCTGTAAGCCAGTATCATTAGATACATAGAACCTAGCTGCCATCTCTGTTTATGTATCCTAACAGACAACGATTCAGGTGCATCTTGCAGTACGTCTCTTCTTTATACTAGATGTTTTAAGAGAGTATGGTAATCTGTCGACACCAACTACCTAACTGAGCAACAGAAAGGGAAATTGAAACCGATTTCCTACCTGTCTTGGCTTTTCCTTCTTTGAATTCGTGCAGTAGCACTGGGAATAGAATACCGTAGGAATACGAACAGCCAACGGCGATCAAAATGCACAGAAATCCACAGAAACATATAAAAAAAAGCGTACGGGCCGTCAGGCTTCTTACAGCCCTCCAGGTATCGAGAAATCCGCTTGAAATCATTACATCCTCTCATATGTTTCTTGGTGTTTTCCTTTGGTAAGAAAAGACTATTATCTTCTGGTCCATCCATCTAAGCAAAAGTTCAAATTAGATTAAAATTCTGTTTTTAGAGGAAGAAATTAAAGTACTTGCGTTGAGATGAGTCTGTGTAAAAAAATTCATGAAAACCTGACGAGGTTATGCACGCAAATGAAGTCGAACTGGACAACAAAATAATGAGAACAGATTATAATTATTTTGTGAAAAAAATTTCCTNGATAGAACGTCAAAATCACGTGCTCGAGGTCAACGTCTGAATTGTGCAAATCTTGGATGAGAAACGTATCTTTTTCACAATAACTTCCATAGTTCCAAGGACCATTGAACAGTGATAGAATTACTGTCTGGTCTGGACCCGACTCGTCTTCAGTCATGCGCAGTGAGGAAGAAAAAGAGACATACATTTATCAACTTTGCAATACGTTCAAATGAGGTCTATCTGGCCTGATCTAGCAATGTAAGAGCTTGAAATAAAGAGAGGTGCTTTTAAACGGGTTATGCGATTGCTATAATAGCAATGAAGCAATTTATGGGTTTGAAGAACGAACATAACTTGTTTTATAGGTATGTCTTAACTAAACAGATAACACAATGGTCATTGTTGCGGTTTATCCTAGCTAAAAGGCGGCGGACTATCCAACTTAATTCAAAAATTCGATTCGCTGCTGTGTTTTTCAGGTAACCTCTGCGTTTTCCCAAAATGAGCCCAGCATGAGAATTTGTCATTATGGACCGCAAAACAAAGAATGAGGCTAATATCCAGCCATCTTGACCAAACAAGCTTGGTCAATAAAATGATTTTCATATTGCAAAAAGATTTCGTTTAAGAATCAAGAATGACGTGTTTATTTCGAGAACCGGGAAAGTAAGCCACCTTTGTTTGTGGCACATAAGCCCAAGAGGGTCGTTTATGTTTTCTTTGTTTTGACTTTCTTCTGCCGCTTTTTACGACGTCATCTCCGACATTGTCCAAAAGTCACGAACTTTGTAAGTCCGCTCCAGACCCTTTTTTTCTTGCGCGGGATCAAAGTGGGCGATCCATCTTACACAAAGAAAGCATTCATTAATTCATTAGAGGACCACGTCAAAATAGCCAAAACTGGGCTTGAATAGACAAATCGAAGGAGTTCAGAATTGCTCTCCTTTCGTAAAATTCACGACACGTCTTCACGTCTTGAATTGGCATTGAGTACTTTCATTCCAACGCGGTCGATATTGGCCTTGAAATTGGTGGGCTAGCATCAAATTAACCAGTTTGTACATTTAGTTATTCGAGGTTCTCAATGAGGTTTATCGTCAGCCTTCAAAAAGTTTAAAATTTAACCCTTAACTGCCTAAAAAAGAAATCAAATGGTTTCGAGTTCATTTAAATTTCAGTAAAAAAAACCCGTCAGTTGATATCGAATAATCTTCAGATTAGTAAACCTGTCTACACTCAGTAGTTAGCTCCACTTATTTCTTCTAATATTCGTCTTAACTAATGGTCTGAAAGAATTAAACGGCTTCATTGAGGGTTGAAATTAAGGCAAATGAAGTCGCTGTTGCAGTTTGGCCATTATTCCAGAGTAAATGAAAATAAACTAGGGAAGGCACCACTATTTCGTGAACTTACAGTCTATTTTCGCTATATAAAAAGCGCTCACAAATGTAATATGGTGTTACTGATTGCTAAAGAACAGCTGTAGTTGATGGGCATCGTACACAACCAGGATGATGGGCTCCTGACACAACACACTCCGATGTTTTTTCTGACTTACACAGCGCATTGTCGAAAACACTAAATGGAGAGAATACGGAAAAGAGGCCGGGAGGAGTGAGAAACAAACTCTCTTTCTGAAGCGCTTTCTTCTGCCCGTATTGGTCTGATATTTTTATATACAGACTTGAATTAGATGCAGAAGTTGTTAGACAAGATCACTCTTAATATCATGCAAGGACAAACTGGTTAATTCTCTCCCACCCTCTTCCCCCACCCCATCGAGTTCTTATGCTCGTTCTTGCACTTCAGTGGGCAAAAACTTTAAGTCAGCTGCAGACCAGGCTGCAGACATGAAGAACATGAATATATCAATGACTTCGAACGAATATTCAACCTTAAGACTGTTTCAGATAAGCACCAATTGCTGCTGTATTATACACAGGACACAAAAACGTGAAGAACTTAGACTG